TCAAGGGAAAGATACCAACGCGATTTTAAAATTGTTTTATAAAAATAATTATCATATTTCATGTTTTTATGTAATAAAAATTAAAAATTTATTCAAATAAAATTTGAGTAAAATTGTCAATTTACTCGACTATCTCCTGATTTTGAGGTAATCATTTTCTTATTTATTTTTCCTAAAACTGTCCTGTTTCCCAAAACATACCTATCACTGTAACTTACAATTCATATTCTAGTTTTTTTACAATATTTTATCCGCATAATTTAGAAAAACAATTATTTTGGTTACGTATGATGTGTCATAATATGCCATGTGGGAGATTCCGTTCGGTTGAATCGGTGAGCGACGTTGCCACATGTACGCAACCCCGTCTTCTGACGAATATCATCATTTTCATATCGCTTTTATTAAAAAAGTATGTGGCTGCGAGTCACCAATTTTGTTTATATCATTGCTAAAACATTATTATATACAACATATCAGTTTTATAAAAAGTTCGTAAATTCCGATCCCTTTCATATCAAGTTTAATGTGCGTTTTACGGCATGGAATAGGGTTTACATGTAAAATTCGTGAACTTTGAAACGAAATATTTCGCTTATCTTGTGGCTACGACATCTGAAATTTTAAAGAACGATTGTTATGCATACGATCAACATATGCTAATTTTTTTAGAATTTTCGTAAAATTTTCAATTTACTCGACTACCTCCTTAATATAAACGAATATAGAATAATGTGATTGACATGGAATAATTGTATTTTTATAGTTTTATAGCTTTTTACTCAAAATATCGACTCTTGATGCCTGAAGTAATTCGTGATTGATCCGTGGATACACTTGTCTAAAATTTGGAATACTTACTTTTAACTTGTTTTATATGTGAAATAATTCTATTACGCTCTAATATATCCAAAATAATTATCGAATTAAATCAGATATCAAGCCTTCCTTTCAAAATGTTAATATGCGACTTGGAATGCATCCAAATAATTAGTGGATGTTCCGAATAATTTGAAATTACTCTATTATGACTGAAATTTATCCAAATAATTCTAAAATTAACTTTAGGTGTGTAAATAATTAGAAAATTGCTTCTGCTTGATCAAATAATTTTGTAATCTATCTATTTTTTGATGTTAAATGGCTATGAAATTCGCAAATTAATATTTTGATTGCGCGTGACTTGTCTACGCTTCTTATAACTATTTTTGACCAATTGGAATTTCCTTTTCATTTCTTGTTTAAAACACTTTTTGTAACTTTAATTAATTATAAAACTTTGTATTCGAATTATCTAACTATTTATTTATTTATTTTTGTTCCAATTACTCACTTTGCTAATAATAACTCAAAATTAATTAATATCTTTCGTAACTAACGTTTACTAAACGAAATAATTATATTTAACTCGATTAACTAAACTTTTATAAATATTTGTATTCTTACCTTCTATGTATTTAACTTAATTCTATCTTTGTTTCAGGATCACCAAGATATTCTTAGTATCCTTTTCTGGTAAGTATACTTATTTCTGTTCCTTTATCTTTTTTATCTTTAATTAAATTTATCTTGATATTTCTTGTTTTTTATAATTTGTTTCATGTTTCAGGTTAAACTACAGGGATATACTTGGCTCGCTGTATTGTGATCATTAGGTAGGTTGAGTAATTATTTAGTACATATTATATTTTTATCTTTCCTTTTTATAGGTTATATCCTTTAAATTCTTCTTTTATTAAAATAACACACATAAAATCTTTTTTTTTTGAAACGACTTTATAATAATTAAATTGAAATTAGAAATTTGTTTGTAACATAAAATAATATATGAAATGCCTTTTATACGACGAGACCTTTTACATAACTTTGTCAAATAACAAAATAACATAATAAAATGATTTGTCTCTTCTTAGATCTTTGGCTCGTCGCTCGATGTCGCCTTCTCCAGGCTATCCTCTGCTGTACTTTGTTCCGTTCCTTGTGTTTGTCGTTCCTGTATCTCTATTGGATGTTCCTCCGGAAATTGTTTTTTTTCCGCTACGGTCATTCTCGGTATTTTCTGTTAAGTTTATGAGTTTTTAGAATTATTGGCGTGTTGTTGAAAAAATGCATGCGGTTGCAAGGTTAGATTGTGACCGGATAACTGATTCTATTAATTCAGATGACCTGGTTTTAGTATTAAATAATTATTATAATTGAAGTAGCGTTGCTATGGATTTATTACTTTTGGTCGCCACTTAGTTTCTCCACCAACTAAGAAGGTTAAAGTTGTATCTGGTTTCGCGAACTGCTAGGCTCTGCAGGAAATGGATAGCTCTGTCGGCTGGTTTCGTCCTTCCTGTCTTTCTCTATGCCCGCTTGGTGAGATCCTTCCGTTTGAAGAACGGTGTTCGTTGTCGCAGTGTTGTAACAATTAATTGTAGAGAGGTAATTTCGTGAAATAAATCACGCACAGGCACTTTGGGTAACACACAATAATTATTTATTTACTTATTTAACA